ATTCTGGTGAATATGTGGCCAACCGGAGGAAGTGAAGATGTGTACCTGATGAAGGAATGCCTCCGAGAACACCAGCAGCTGACCCAGGAGGAGTGCAGGATGGTCCATGGGCTGGATGCGCACAAGAGAACGGGGAGAGGGAGGAATAGGAGCAGGATACTGACACAGGCACGGGACAAGGAGTTTGTGAGCGATTTGGGAAGGTGGGAGGGACCATTGGCCAGCCCGGCCCCGGGCCAGAGCTTCCATGCGGGTACACACTAGCTAGACTGCACCGCGCCGGGGCGGTGTGCACACCATGCATCACACAAATTTGCACTCGCTTCATGCCCATTTTGCAAGGGCTGATGGCGCAGCCCAGGATACAAGCTCCTGTTCATGGAAACCCGCTCATCTTGCAACACCCACATGGAGATCTCGCTTCTTTCAGCTGTGCCTCTCGCTTGTTGTCTCCATTGAGCGATTGGTAATGAGCACATCTGTTACATAGTTCCAGTTGCCTCCTGCAGGCCTGGATGATACCCTGAGCAGCAGACTGTCCTGCTGGCCAGACTACCATCCTGGCCAGCGATCGAGAGGCCACGCTAAGGGCCTGGGGTACATATCCATTGCTGCTCAGAGAGACTGCTCAAACACAAGTGCCAAATACTTACGGATCCCACTGAGATCAGAAGTATCAGATTACGAGAGTAGACTACCGGGTAAAATACATGATGGGAGAAATGGCACACCACCACCGGGAATACCGCTCCGTACCAGCTGTGTTGCAATACCGTGGAAAGGATCACTCCGAATGCTCGCACTTACCCCGGCAGTTTCCTCCGGCCACCATCAACGTTGATGATAGTCCTGTCCGGGTGGATGGTCGTAGACAGAAAGCGAGGGGGAGTCCGTCGACTAGCACACGAGAGAAGTGATGTAAAGCAAGAGGTAATAGAAGTGTCGCCTAGAGAGACCAGAGGACCCGTACGACCGCGCGAGCGGCGTGTCCGAGTGCGGGAGCGAGGAGGAACGGAGGCGAAACACGAGAGCGTCATCGAGAAGGCGAAGTCGAAGGCGGGCGCACACGGGCGCAAAGCGAGGTCGAGGGTGAATTCGAGAGGCGAGCGTCGAGGAAAACAGGCGGGAAAGTGAGCAGGAAAACCAAAACTGAATAATAGTGGCATAAAGCCCGAGTATAAGTACATGAGCGGCGCGGGCCAGAGGTAGACTGGACGTCGAGACAGAAGGTGTCGGTGTCGGGAGTCGCGAGCGGATGTAAAGTATGAGGGGGCGGGACGGCGCGCGCCGCGAGAATCGAGTTTAAAGTTCGTTTACACAAGTCGAATCGGAGGGGCAGCCGTATCGCGCCGCACTCGGCAGCGTTCCGCGCCCGGATGCTCTTCCTGGGTGCCGGCCCCTCCGTCGTCTCGCGCCTCCGGGCAGCGAGCCGCGCCAATTTCCTAATTGAGCGCCGGCCCGACTTCGTGCCGCGCAGGGGGTACTCGCCTTTGGCAGCCGCGGAGAGGTTTTCCTTTACTCCTTTCTCCTCGTCGCTGCCAGGTGAGTAACGTTCGCCCTCGCGCGGGCCTTTCTTCTTCTCGGAGTCGTGGCTAACGACTCCTTTCTCCTCGTCGCTGCCAGTGCGCTTCGAGCGGATGTAAAGTATGAGGGGGCGGGACGGCGCGCGACGCGATCACGTGGAGCGCGCGCGCCGCGAGAAACTACCGGACATGTCGAACCCGCGCGTCGAGAGCGTCGGAGTTGCGGTGTGCGGCGGCTCCGCGGGCGCGGGATGACAGAACTATGAAGCGGGACAGGATACAAAACGTCAGAGTCAAGTCGGGAACGCCGGAACAGGCATGAATCGCGCGGAACACTTACTGAGCCCGCGAACGCGGCGGCCTCGAACTCGCGAACGAGTCGTCGGACCCCGCAGCGCCGCGGGCTGCGCATCAACGTGCATCGTGCGAAGCTCGCAAATGCATGTAGTCACCGCACCGCCATGTCTCCAGGGCACAAATGGCGAAGCCTGAGGGTGCACAATGATCGCCGCTGCTCACACTTTGATCTTGTCTGGGGCGCGCAATGTCTCTTAGGGGTGGCCTCCTGAATGCCGCGGCCAAACCTCCTTCCGTGAGGACTCCGAACATGCACTGCGCAGCTGTGCACAACGGCAGACCCCGTGGGAGATGCAGGGACATGCCCCTATCAGGCAGAGGACATGGAAGGCAGCCGGGGCGCAGACTTCGCAGACCTTGTCGAGATACTGTATATTAATTGCTAGTGAGTCGAAATGACAACAATCATTCAACTTTGATATTTGACCTCCATTGGTGCGATACAAAGTGTGGGTGTGCATCCTGGACCATGCAGCCGCAGTGTTGCTGCTTCGGAGGCAGAAGGTGCGGGACAGAAGCACAAGCGGGCCTGATGGCAGGCAGGCATAGTGAGGAGGGGTTGCCGAGGTACCAGGTACAATTGCAGGGTGTAGGGCAGCCGCAGCATGGGCGAGCGGAAGAGATAGACGTGGGGTGTGCATGACAAACACGCGTCGGGTGCTTCGATGGAGGCGGCTTGCGGCGTGATGGTCGCAAACCTCAGGCTGCCAGTCCTGTTGCCGAGGTGTTCCGAGCAGGGGACGACTTCAAAATGCGTGTAACGGGAGCATCTTCGTTGTAGCTAGAGCAAGAGAAAGGAGTGGACTCAAGAATTTTCCAACGGTTGTCGGCTCGGCGGACTACTGTGCGAACTCGCTTCCGAAAGTACTATCCTGGATGAAAATTAGTTCCAACCACATGTTTCAAACACATAAATGTACATATCGAAGCTCACTGAGCTGCATCGAAGACGGCATACTACGAAGCAGCAGACAATGCATGTAGACTCGAGGAGGGCCGCTCCGATACACGACGGTAGGCAGACATCAAGAACAATTGCCTGCAAGTACAAACTTCACAGAAATAAGTGCGCAAATTTGTAAGAGACACAACGACGATGGTGAGCTCACCGTACCCTTGTAAACGTCGCACTCGAGATTGCGGTACAGTGGCATGACTGGTCGTAGGGTTTTGCGTGGGAACGGACATGCACGGCCGCGAGCTCACAAGACGGGGAGCACAAAACTGACCCCGCACGATCTTCGTAGGAGACAAATGGCCTGGGTAGGGATACACAGTGCGTACTCGGCTCCATAACGTCGCGCTTCCCCGTCTGAGGCAGAGGGATGGCATTACTACATTCAAACCAGTCTTCCTGCTGTATCGGACACATCTACATAGGGAGCCTTCCGTACGCTCATTTAGCTTGCTTCAGAGGCTGAATGGCTTGCTACGTACCGATGTCGCTGTGTCGATGTCACCCGCGTCCGCCACCCGGTCTTGTTTGTATATTGAAATCGGAGGCAGCCTTCTCGTCTTTCCACAGTGTGCACGCAGCCGCAGCCGCCGCAAGTTCGAACATGAATTGGTATGGGGCTCGGCGCGCGACCTACGTGCTACGGCTTTCGGCATGGTGATGGCTCCTCGGGGCGACCACGTAGCTCCTGTAAACAAGACAGACCCAGAGCCCGCCGTCCAGACATTGCAGGCGAGAGCGGCGGCGATGATTCCGAGGGAGGCCCGGGACAAGCCCTCGACGCCGTGTTCATGCTCTACACGCGCACAGTTCTTCCTCGGGCTCAGGCGTGTCCGTCTAACTCGCCCATGGACGGCCGAAAGGAGTGTATGTACATGGACGTGATTCGGGGCCTATAGACGTCCGTCGCCGTGAGCATATCCGCACGAGGGCGAGCGTGCACGGCACCTCGTTCCCGGCCTTACAACGCACGGAGGGCACGCCGTGCATCGCGCCCTCACTTGTGTCCTCACGACCTCGGGGCGGTCTTCCTGTTCCATGCCGCCCACCAACGCTCGTGTGGGGGCACGTCGTACCGTTGCAGCAGTGACCGGACGAGACACATTGCGTCGCGACCCTGTCGTGCCCGAATGCACGCACCTCGCCGCTCGCGCCGGCCTGCGACTCGATGTCCAACCGAGGCGGCCCGGCGAGCTCTCACCGAGGCGGTCCGCCCTGTTTCTCACTCCTTACAGACGTCGTCAGGACACTGACAGCCGCGCGCGGGCCCCGCCGTTTCGACGATCGATGGGCGCGGCTCCCTCGGCCCTCGGCCCTCCACCCACTCGAATGTGGGGCGGCCGTATGCAGGCCCACAGTACCGTCCCGCGGTACAGCAGATGCGTGCGCGCATACCCGCCGCCGCCGCCGCCGCCGCCGCAACGACGACAGGTCACGCGTGCCCGCCGCGGCGTCGCACCTCCATGAGCACGTCCAGAAGGAGAGGCTCGGGGCCAGGAAGAGAGCGGACGCACCGCTCGCCTGTCATGCGCGGCGCGTCGGCGCCGTCTTCGTCATCTCGGGGCCCTGCGCGCTGCTCGGGCTCCCGCGCGCGTCCGTGCGTGCGGCAGCCAATTTCAAGTCGGCGATGTCCGATCGAGCGGCGGAAGGGATGGATACCGGGTGGGGCTGATACTTACGGCGGGGTGGAGGTCGCGGATGCGGACGCGGACGCGGACGCGAGGATCTGAGATGGGGTGGTTGCGAGGCGCCTAGCGCGAGGGACGGCGGTACGTACGTGACGGGGTGATGGCGCGCGCGCAGCCGGTGGATACGTGCTGCGACGGATGCAGGGTGTGAGCTGGGCGGCGGAGAGCCCGCCCTGAAGCAGGCGAGGATAAAAGGGGGCGAGGGGGAGGGAGGGACCGGACAC